TTCTTGAGATAACACTCTTATCTCCTATATTTCGTGTCCCGGGAGGGTTCCGTGGTATTTCTCTTCCCCCACTGAAGCCTCCGTCTCCACAAATATCTGTCGCTAAGGTCCTTATCGTGTATTCTTGCCACGATAAGAGGCTCCGTGTTTTTCTGTCTCTGATACAACTGTTCTTCACAATCTATATCGTGGTTCTTATTTTCGTCTTTTTTATTCAAAATGGCCGTCTTTTTTCTATTTCTCAGAAATGTTCTTCTTCCAATCGAAATTTTTAAAATAAAAATTCTAGAACATTCTGACCCTCCGTCGCAACACTTTTTTGTTCATAAGGCCTTTAGTCACTTTTTTTTCTGTCGCGGGAAGGTTATGCTGTGTCATCTGGCAGAATGGCACATACTCCCCGGACAAGTCTCCATCAATGTCCCTATTGATCGCATAACACCGGGTTATCGTCAAGTAGTTATCCAGTTTTCAGTAACCAATCTTACAAATTGCATAAGAAATTGAAATTTATCTACTCCAACTCAACTCACTACGTGTTCACAAATGGCATCGTACTACATCTCACTGCCTTTCAACATTTTCACAAAATTTGCACCATGAGGAGGGTCCTAGATAAAATTTCTTTTCTGACTACTTACGTCATCTCGCCATAAAACTTCTTTTCGCCTCTGATTAAAAAGTGGGACGTGGCACGGCCACGCACCCGTTAAAATTAACTTAACTTCACTCACCAAGTATAATCAGTCATTTATGCGGTCCTTTCCATATTAAAACTAAAAAACTCTGTGGCTAGGAAAGTTATTGAGTTACCCACCCTTCTCGAGCGAGTTTACTCAAACTTACCATGTCACCACACAGTGAATTTGTGTCTTACACAGGTTAAAAACTTCAGTCGTGAATAAATAGGTAAATATACTCACCTATGTTCCTTATATACATACATAGATAGTAGTAACTAAAATCAACAATTTCAACAATTTTAACAATTGCAACATTTTCAAAGTTTGGTCTGACCAAACTAGATCAAAACAAAAAGTTTAACAAGTTCAATAATCAAAACTTGGTTGATTTGTTCAAGTTTTAGCACACAAATACAATCAAGTTTTTCTCTCCTTCTCTTCTTTTCTTTGGTCATCTTCACTCCATCATTTCTCCATCCTGATGTTCAGCGTCACTGTCTTCCAGAACTTTCTCTAACATGTCCAGAGAGTTGCGGGCCGTGCCCCAACCCTCCTGTTCCAACAGCCTCGGTTTGCAACAAGGTAGCAAGTCCACATTCACTTTCTGCTCCCGGTTCCTGCAAAAGCTGTTGTGAAGACATAGGCTCACTTTTCGTTCTAGGTCAGCTCTTAAGACCTCTTTCTTCTCATCTTCAGTAACACAAGGCGTTCCAGCTACCCGCTTCACCGCTGTGGTGACCGCGTTTCTGTGCGTCAAGAATGCTCGTTTATAGGCTCCTGGTCCTATATCTAGCTGGAAAGATTGATAGGCTTCCGTGTTCCTTGACATGTGACGCTTCGCGCGTTCATACATCCAAGATGTCATCACTGCACGGAACCAAGGCATCAATCTTTGCCTTGACCATATTCTTTCAATGGCTTTAGGTATTCTCAGGACCTTGCAGGTGGTTCTGAAAAGATCCAATTCACGACTCATTTTAACGTTGCTCAACTGTTCAGGAGTCGGCACGGCCGTCTCCTGCTCACTTGTGTCCGCGTTAGCCTCCAACCATCTCACTGCTAGCATGGCGCTAACCACCACGATTGACACTTGTTGATTCTGATCGGGCAACCCCGTGGAGTACAACTCCTCCACGTCCCAGACTAGGATCAGATTCCCGCGTTTAGGGTACCACAACGTCTGCGCCAAGCAGTGGCAAGGATACTCCCCATGGGTTCTCACTATGTTCCTTCGGGTCCGATACCCTGAGGCTCCCAGCAACGGTTCCACTTCCATCAGGATTCTATGTAAATCGTCTTTCTCTTCTATGGTGGGGAATTCAGTGGGTAACGCTCCACTCGCTTTCTGTTTCTGGAACTCACTCACGTTGCCTTCGTTCAGTCTCATGAACTCTTCACCCACAACGTCTTGCAACTCGCCTTCGGATCTCTTCGGGACTGCCCGAAAGATCTTTGCCAACAAGTCATATGACCTCTCTGACATTCTGGCCAACCTCACGCACTTTGGCACAGAGAAAAGTTGGTCAACCAACACTTGTTGCGTCCTCGCATCCATCACCACCATGTGCGTAGGATACTTGCTATTACAATACGGCGCTGAGCTTGAACCCACCATATATTTTGAACCAGTAGGTCTGTGATAGGCTTCACTATCCTTCAGATTCATTTCATTCTCTAGGGCTTCTCGCCAGCCTCCAATCTTTTGCTCTGGCTGTAATGCTCCAGGGAATATTTCCACGCTGAGGGACGTCACTAGCTCATGGGCACGCTCCAAGCGCTCGAGCGATTCTATCGAACTCGTCATGCTGCAAAATCCCAAGGCTGTGATCAGGTTTACGTCCGTCACCCCATGGCAGTCTGCGACCAACTCCATGGCACTCTTATCTGACATGCTCAATCTTCCGTACAATCGTGCCAGTTGTCGATGCTGCTCGCTTAGCGTAATTAGGCAGTGTCCCAGGTTACAAACATGTCCTTCCATCCCACTGTGTTGAGCCAAGCATGTGCCTTGCTTCAACCAATTACTCGATGTACCTTCCTCGGACAGCTCCGTGGACGGGTTGCTCTTCTTCTTCGTCAATCTCATGGCCAGCAGGTGATGTATCATGGCCAGATCATGTGAACTCGCATCATCATCCCGTTCTAACATGACATCCGCGGTCATGTCCCAGATTAAGCCTGCGTTAGGATGGGGACACCAGGAAGGTTTCATGAGTTCCCACATCACTACTAGACTGGTTTTCAAGGGACCGTCCCAAGAAC